CGGCACGGGCAGCATCCCTGCCTGCAGCACGCACCCCGACAGCGGCCGGGCTCTGCACCCAGGGACCCACCAGCGCTCCGACCGGCCGGCTGCGGGACAGGGAAGGCTGCCCTGAACACCGGCAGCACCACTGGGCTGGCCCGGCGAGCCCTGTCCTGCCCACAGCTGACGCCAGTTCTGCTGCGGCCAGGCCCTGCACATCACCACTGCACAGCGACAGCGGTTTTTACCACGTGGGCAAGAAACCCAGGGAGAAGGGGAGCCTGCTCTGTGAGGGCAGAGAGCCCAGCCCGGGTTCCCGCACACACGGGCTCTGCACATTCTGTTCTGTAGCACCTCCACTCTGCTCTCAGCCCCAAGCTGCTCCTGAACTACTCCAGTTCAGGACGATCTTCAGAATGGAAATGCAGCACTGAGCTACAGTTTCTCAGAGTGCAGATAAAAGAAAGGCACTTTCTTTACACTGCTACTGCAGCAATTACATTTTCCCTGCCTAGAAGACCTCTTACGACCCACGTGATATTGTACTTACCTTGTGGTGCCGCGCAGGTGGGCGCCCACACCGCGTGGCATTGAGCCTGCCTTCGGCTCCCGCAGGGCCCAGGCAGCGGCACGAGCGGCTCGGCGCCGCGTGCTGCAGGCACAGGAGGCCGGCGAGCGGGGCCGGCCCGTGGGGAGGGCGCACGGCAGCCCTCCTGCGCCGCGCGCATGCGAGGAGAGCTGCGCTGGCGCCGCCGGCACCGCCACGATGCCGCGGGCGTGTGCGCTGCAGCGGCCCGGCCACACGGCCACGCAGCCCCGCTGCCCGGCTCGGCTCGCCGGCCGCCTCCGCGCCCCGCGCCAGGCCCAAGCGCGTCCTCGCCGCGGCTCCGCCACACTGCCAGGCCCCATCTCCCCACGGCTCTCCACGCAGCGCCGCTGACGCCTCCTTCCTTTTCAGCCTGGTTGAACCCTCGCAGTTTGAGCTCATTGCTCCTTCTGCAAAATCAGAGTCCTTGCATTTCCAACATAACCTCGACGTTCCCGAAGACAGAGCGGACGGCACGAGCCTGACCACGGCATCCACGGGGCAGGGCCGAGGCAGCTCCGAGCGCGAGACGAGTCATGGTGCCGGCGTCTAGGAGGGGCAGGAAAACCTGTCAAAAGCCGAGCCTCACGTTGCTTAACCTCCACCAAGGCATTTGTGAGGTGAAGGAAAAAAGAAAGGGAAAAAAATATCCAGGGTATTTTAATGTGAAAAGATTATGATTTTAGGCTTTTATTGGAGAGAAAAAAAGCCTTACATTTATGAAGTTGAAAAGAAGACAAAGGATAAAACTTGTGTTGGATATCAAAACGGGATTCAGTTGAGAATAGACTTGAAGGGAATTTTATTTATAGTATGTCTTCTAGGTGGGCATTTATGACCTTTAGAAAAATGGATTAAAGCTTTAGTATACCCAGCTTCAGGCTATGTGAATTATTAAAGCAACAAAGCCATAACATGGCAGCACTGCAGCAAAGCAAACAATGTTAACGTGAGCTTTCCTCGGAAAGGTTGCTCCGGAGCCGCCTTCCACGGAGCCGACACGAGGCCGCTGCAGCAGCCAGGCCCCTTCGGGAGCTGCCCAGGCCTCGGGCAAGTGAGGGAGCTGCTGTGCAGAGCTGAATGGAAATGCAATTTTAAATAAAATATTCCTAATAAAAGAGCTTATTAAATAAGCATATTTTTCATGCCAGCAATTTAGCTGCTTTATGAACCTTCCTTACCTGTTTATTGCATGGTCAGTTGAAAAGCAGCTAAGAAGCAGGCACCAGCCCCGGGCTGAGACGCTGCCGGAGCCTGGGGCCCCGCTGGGTGGTGACACCGTGTCCCCAGAGCCCCCAAGGGCGCCCGGCACCCCGTCCCCAGAGCCCTTCCCAACTGCCTTCCCAGGCCATTGCGGCTCCTGTGCCCCAAGGGTTTTCCCGGCTCCATCTGGACAGCTCATTGCATTACGGAGCCCATTTGTTTGCTTATTCCTGATTCACTTGCTCCAGATCCTCATCAAGGAGCCTCTCTGCTATAAAGCCCCTTCTTACTATCAGGCAGTGTCTATTAAACCTTTTCAGGAGAACACTGCAAATGAATCACGCTTTGAAAAAAGGAAGTAAAAACCCCCAAATCCCCATGCAGACTGTCTGCAAATGGCTTGCGGGTCCGAGGATGCATCTGTTCTCTTTAGAAAATTTCATTTCACATTGCTCCTCTGACCTGCATGGATCTGTTGATTTAATCTCGTATTTCCAACAGCAGACAAAGACATAAATTTGTGCTGAAGAACTTACAATACGTTTTCATTTCTCAGCAGTAAGATGAAAGTAATAAAAGATAAATTCCCCATAACCACAGCAAATTCTTTATCTCCTGGAGGAAAAAAATAGAAGGCAGCCACTTCAGTGAGATGGCTCACATAAAGACAAGAGAGGAATACAATAATATTGGGGGAAAATGGGGAGGAATAATTTAGCATTCCGTCTACCAGCCTGAACTGACAAAGATAAAGCCAGGAAAGGTCAATTTTAAGAAAGGGAGATGTTGAGATACCTCCAACACAGCCAGTGCCTACCAAGGTTTGCAGAAGTCTCATCATTTCCCACTCTCACAAAGTGCAACAGAAACGTGAGCTGGTTCCCATTAGAGCACTGGGTCATAACTTACCTCAAGTTCTGATCATCATTTCACTGCTACTGCTTATTAGCTAAGAGCCTAACTTAATCTCTGTTCTATGAGAAACAAGTCTGTGGTACATAAGAACTTAATGTTCCTATTAAAACAAAGTCAAATAATATTATTTCTAATATCTATATGGAAAATATTATATACAAGCTAATTTGAGTAAACAAGGAATTAAGCATGACCTTCAATTGATTAATAATATCTTAAACATGATCAAAATAGTATCTTAAAAGACAAATTCTCTAGGGGGTAAAAGTAGATTTCTGAATTGCATTTTGCCTATTTTGTATAGTTTCTGTCATATATAGGCTATCTTGAGAGGCAAATAAAAGTGAGTGTGGAAACAGAAAACTGGGAAAGCAGAATACCTTGTCCATGGTTGCACAGATATCTCCTTGCCTACCGGGTCACTGGACTGCTAGATCCCATGGCTTTATAGGTTGCGCAAGTCGCAGATCAGCACATCGAGGGCTCACCCTCCAATTGTGCAGCAGCTCCTAAACACCTTCCTGAATATGGGCCCATAGTTCTTAAATGAACCAAAACAACTGAATTTCTCACAGATTTCAAATAATAGCTTTCAGGTAGGTAGTTCCTTATTTTCCATAATTAGATGTCAGTTGTAGAAGATTTTGTAAATGTAAAATTGCTTCTCTCAGTATTAAAGCAAATTCAGCATAGTGATATAATTATCCAGGAAGAAGATGAATCATCTTAGCATTCTGTGGAATTGTATGCACAATTCAGAGGCCTGCAGGACACTATTGCTACATCTGCCCATTCTGAACACACACAGGTAGAAAGGGAAGCAGCCATGAGAAGCAGTTCTCTTCAAGCCAAAACAGTCCTGCCCCAGAATAATAATTTTTTTCCTTTTCATATTTTAACTAGAATTCATTAATCTTCCAGCACCTGGTGCTGTCCCACACCAGGAGCGATCTCTTTCCTGTGGAAAGTCTGCATTTGGCAGGACGAGTCCTCTCATCAGAGCTCGTGTCGGCTGGTGCTTCTGGGCAGGCTTTGGGCTGGTGGTGCCAGGAGCGGGCGCCAGGGCCAGGCTGGCCCGGCCCACGCTGCAGGCCCCGGGACACGGCAGCGGGACGGATGCGGATCCTCCTGGGCGGATCCCGGTCCTCCCGGGCGCCTGTGCCCGCTCTGCTCACCCAGCGAGCTGCCGGGCGATCCGACTCACCTGGCTCGAGCAGAGCGCACCCCTGCCTTCCGAGCGCTCAGCTCCTCATCCAGCTCCGCCTGTGTGGACATGGCAGGGTCTGCACCAGCCTCTAAGGCAGTCGGTCCTAGTTTTCAGCTTAGATGATAGTTTGCGTCTTGCACAACTTCCCAGGCCCCTTTCTCATGCCCACCGTGCCCCAGCTCTGCACAGAGGCACCCCAACAGACTGGGAACCAAATCCAACCATTTTCCTGAGCGGCAACCACAGCTACCGCTCAGGCTGCTCCTGTGCACGGGGTGCAGGGGTCTCAGCGACGCGCAGGGAAGCTGCTCGGAGGATACAGTAAAATGCAGGTGATGGAAAAAATACAGCAGAGCATCAGTGCCATGAAACAGGCAGCCCGAGAGAGAAGGGCATGTCCTCAACCCACGGCTAGGCACTCATGGACACACACACGGAGCTTTGGGTTTGCAGTGCAAAGGAACAGTGAGAAACTCAAATACCATGAGAAAGGCAACAAATAGTTGTTTAGACAGGAACAGACTGAGGAATTCAGTAAAAAAAAGATAAGAAAGGAATACGATCTAGCAAATGAGCTAGTAATTAATTTCCAGAGCTATCCATCTTCTTGGACATCTCCCACCTCCTCCCACGCACTGCTTGGCCACAAATCAAAACGAGTGTTTCTCAGTGGGAGAGCAGCCCGGGGCTGCAGAGCATCATCCCAGCTGCGTCAAGCACCCACGGCAACTCCCAGCACCTCTGTGGCTTACTGTGCCCTGGCAAAACAACACATCCATTGAGGAAACAGGAATAGCGTTTCCCTGTTTTGCACAGGGAAACCCTATTTTGTGTGGCAAAGTGCACACTTTTGCCATGCAATGTTCACAACCACCTGGGCATTTCATGATGAAGCCACTTCACCATCATACCAAGAATTACAGCAATGCCAAGTGGCAGCAAAGGGTTTGCCTGAGTTCATTTTGCCCATGTTTATTCAGCAGCCATTACGTAAAAACAAAAATTACATATTTCAACACCATTACTATTAAATTAAACCGTAAACACATAGTAGCTTAAAGCTGACAGAACATACAAGCAAACTCAAAACTAAACGTCCAAGCCTACCTTGCCAAAGCTTCCCTTCCCAATTGCCCGGAGGATCTGGAAGTGGTCAAAGTTCACTACAAGATAAAGAAAAGAATTTAAATTTGTAAATGTTGTGCTACAGAGGTCTCGTACGTCGGGAGAATGCAAGGGGACGAGCGACGGGCATTACTGGGGTTCCAGTAAAGGTTGAGCACTGTGAGCTGGGTGCTCCAGCACAAGGTAAAGCCAAACAGGAACTGCAATGATAGGGATGGAGTTCCGCACAAACCCTGCACAGAGCAGCAGCCTGCAGGGCTCCGCGGGCACCCAGGGGTGTGTGGTGGGCGCAGCGGGCGCCATCCCCGCCGTTCCTCCCGCCCGCGCTGCGGGCGCCCGTGCCGCAGCCCTGGCCCGACTGGCAGCACTCGCAGGAGGAGAGCACTTGTGGACGGCACCGGCCTCCCTCCGGGTACGCGCACGCACCGGCACCGGAGCGGTGACGTGCCCGAGGCCGCGGCGCGCAGCGACAGGGACACAGCACGGCCACCGCGCCGCAGCTCCGGCCCGGGCAGCAGCCGCCGCCAGCGAGGTGTTCCCACCAAACGGCTGCAGGCACCCGGCCCCTGTAGCAGCAGGCTCAAACAAATTAAAAACCCCTGGCAGGTCTATTCATATCAACGATGAGACAACCTCCATTCCGTACAGCTTGGCTGCCTCGCAGATACCCAAGCACCATCACCAGAGTCCCTGGGAAAGGACATGGTGTCACTTTGCTCTGCAAAGTGCCACCACCCCGGCTCTGCAGCACCCAGGAATGGACCTTCTGTCATGAGGGAATATCCACAGGGATATTCCCTGTGGAATGCCCTGGCAGTCAGACCCCTTGCAAATGCTCCCGGACGGGGAGCTCTTAGCGCCGCTTGGGGGCTTTATTGCAGTGCTGGAAACCTTGGGTAAAACATTTTCTAAGTTGTCACTTAGAAAACAAAGAAAAAAATGCCGATTTAATGTATCCATGACTACAAATGATCTGGAAAGTATGCTCTAGTCTGCAGTCATGGAAAAAACGCAGATATGAATATTCACCAGGCCCTTGAACCAATCTGCAGAGATGCCACTTTTGATGAATTAAACCCACAGTTCTGCTGCTTGGAAGTTCAGAAGATGTTAAATGAACAAGCACTGGCTTTTTTCTCAGCTCCATTATTTCCTTCAGGAATTAGTAAGCAATTCCAATTATAAAAAAGAGCAAATTTCAACACTTCAGAGAAAAAAAGGCACAGGAGCAGCCTATTACCTGTTGGACACAATACAACTGAACTTCCAAAAGTTCTGCCGTCTCCGCACAGAGGGTGTACACCCCTAACACCGCGAACCTGGCGGTGCCCGGCGCCGCAGCGGCGCGCAGAGCTCGCGCTCCCCAGCAGCAGCTGCCCCCAAAGTGCCTCCCGGCAGCTGCCGCAGCTGCTCCTGCAGTGCGAGCAGAGTCCGAGTGCCCAGCGCTGCCCCTGCCCCTGCCCCTGCTCCCGCTCCTGCCCCTGCTCCTGCTCCCGCTCCGCTCCGCGAGCACGGTGCCGCTGCGGCCCTCGGGCGCCAGCTGCTCCTTCCTCAGAGCCGAGGGGAACGCCGAGTGTTGCCAGCGATGCCTGCACAAGGAGGAACATGCTGCACCCTAACGTGCCAGCTTTTTGTCTCTTCGCTATCCTGACATTGCCAACATTTTGTTTTCTTTCCTGTTTATTCCCTATTTAATTACAAACCAGCCAGAACATGCCAATATAAAAGTATAATCAAACTTCAGATACCTAACGGACATGCAGTGACCTTCCCACCTCAAGGCCTGGTATTAATGCCCAATAGAAGTAAAACAACGGCCACAGCATCCAACATCCTCAAACCTGGGAGAAACTGAAAACTAAAATCAAATTTAAAAGACCAAGTGATTCTCTTTATCACTCCTTCTTTATGTGCACATTTTTCCAGCTTCATCAATGAAAATAAGGATGCCTGTATAACTCCAAACTCGAAAAACAACTCTCTACAACATTAGAGACTTAAGAAACTCTTTCCAAGTCTTACAAGAGGGCTTTTTTCAGGCCAGGTATGGTATGGTCATATTTTTCCTCCCATCACTGCATTTCTGTATGTTAGAGTAATTAATGGCCTTTTCTAGCTATCCTTATATTATTATCCCTATTATTATATCCTTATATTAGCAGCCTAGCGCTGGAAGCAGCATTTCTGTAATGGATGCAGAGACATTAATCCAAGGCCACCACAAAGACTGCAAGTTTGCTGCCACAAAATGCTCAGACTTCTAAGTGACAGAAAAACAGCAGCTACGGTTCAGATGTAGAAGTCATGAATTCATCTGTTCTAGCCAGAAAGAGCAGACCCCCTTCCCAAAGCCAGGAGCCACCTGACAGGCAGAGAGGGAAGGCAGCCGGGTCACAGCGAGGGGGCAGGAGAGCCCCGGGCGCTGCAGCATGAGGAGAACAGTCCTGGGCATCCAGGGCCAGTGGAGAGACACCAAGGCAGGATTAATGCACGTCGTGAGGCAGAAAATATTAAAGAGTAATGAGAAGCTTGAGCAAGGCCATCACACAGACCAGGGAGTTAAGATCCTACAAGGAAAACGTAGACTGCACTGCAATGAAAATGCACAGAAAATTCCCAAAGAAAGTGCTGAGCCTGCTAAAAATAGCAGGAGAGGGAAGTAGGGCAAAAGGAGAGACAGGAATAATTTGATGTTAAAAGCTTTCAAATTGGAAAATGAATCTGAATGAAGTGGAAAGATCAAAGAAAACCTAAAGTGGGATTGGACATTAGAGAGAAGGTAAAAGTGACTTAGATGGGGCAAAGTTTGGAAGCATCTGATGAAGATGGGGGGGAGCAAAACGCCAACCGGGAGCAGCAACTCAGTCCTGCCCTGAGCTGAGTGCGGCCGCTCCGTCCTCCCTGCCCAGCGGCCACGCAGCTCCTGGCTGCAAGGCAGGGCTGGCTCCGCGTGCGCAGGAAACCACTGCCTTCCTGCCTTCCTTCACGCTCCTGGGAGAGCCGGAGCAGAGCCCCAGTGGAGCCAGAGCGGACGCAGCGCGGAGCCCGAGCCCGAGCAGAGCTGGAGCAGAGCTGGAGCAGAGCTGGAGCAGAACCCAACCAAGCTCGAGCGGAGCCAGAGCAGAGCCCAAGCAGAGCGGGAGTAGAGCCCGAGTGGACCCTGAGCAGAGCCAGAGTGGAGTCAGAGTGGAGCCAGAGCAGAGCGAGAGAGGAGCCGGAGCAGAGGGGATCCTGAGTGGAGCCGGAGCGGAGTCAGCACAGAGCCAGAGCAGAGTCTGAGCGGAGCCAGAGCAGAACCAGAGCCGAGCGAGAACGGAGTTGGAGTAGAACTAGAGTAGAACTGGAGCGGAGCTGAAGCAGAGCCCAAGCGGAGCTGGAGCAGAGCCGGAGCAGAGCCGGAGCGGAGTCCTTGCTGCCCAGTGCGCACGCTGCTCCGCTCTGCCTGCCCGCATCCGCAGAGAAGATTACATGAGTGAGAAAAAGGGAAATACAGTATAACGTGACTGACGGGAAGCTCAAGTGAGCATTAGCGACCCGGGAATGCGGGGAGTGCTGGGAGATAACAAAGGAAATTAAAGGTATAATGCAAGCCCAGGGCTCTAAATGAGCCCCCGCAGGCACCAAGGATTCAAACATACTATTAACAAGTAGCTCTGAAATCACGTAAAAACAGTCAGCTATTGTGTGATTAAAAATGAATCTCTATAATGCTCTAAGCAACCAAATTACTATACAAACCAACTGCTAAGTTGTCCTAGGAAGATGGGGTTATTGATAATAGGTAGGAAAATGTTTGCATTGGCTAAAAACCATTCCTAATTAGTGCAAAAATGTTGCTTCCATGGGCTGGAAACCACTCCAAATTAGTGCCAGTGTCTTACATTCATCTGCTGCTTTGTCAACAACCTCAGGAGACCCTGGTAAACTCTGTGAAGAATAACATACCTCTTCTGCTTCTTAATATATGCTTTATAAGTGATATTTAAGTTACAAAGGCTCTGTTACTTTGTAAAAACAGTGTAAAGGGGCAAACCTGCTCCTGATGAACAGCGCGCGGGGCTCTGCGGAGGTGCGGGACAGCGAGCGCTGCGGGAGCTGCGTGCCCCGGCACGGGCGTGCTGCGCAGCAACGTGTGCCGGGGACGAGCGAGCGGCTGGGAACATAGCTGTGTGCTACAGCACATGACGTGCCCCACGGCACAGGACGTGCCCCACAGCAGCGACCTGCCCCACGGGCCGCCGCGGCAGCTCCCTAGGGCAGGGCGGGCAGCGCAGAGCACGAGCGCTCTCCTCCCGAGCGGCTGCGGCGAAACGCGGCACTAACGGGCCGGGGTCGGTGCCCAGAACACGGCTGTTTCCTTGTGCTCCCGCGAGTCCAGGACACTGCTGCCAGACGGCCCAAGGGCTCAGCGAGCGCTGGCATCGCCGTGCCCACCACAGCAGCACGTCGACTGTCTCAAAGGACAAACTCGCACAAGTGACGGCCAAGGGTGCAAATGCAGGGCCCAGGCTGGGTAACCAGCAGTACTGGAGTGATAGAAGGAATAGAGGGAACAAAACAAACGTCATCCTTGAGTTCATCCTGGTAGCCGTGTAAATGAAGAGAGGCGAGTGTGGCGTCCCCATGCTGAGCAGAGGGGCCCATGATCCTTCCCCTGTGCTCAGCACGGGGAGGCCACGTGGCGGGTGCTGGTCCACGTCTGGGCTCCCCAGCACAGGACAGACAAGGACATCCCGGAGGGAGCCCCAGGGAGGACCACAGAGGCAACCAAGGACCTCCTGGAGCACCTCTCCAAGGAGAAAGGGCCGAGAGTGCCGGGGCTGTTCTGGCTGAGGAAGAGCAAGCTCGTGGGGATGTTGCTGGTGGGATAGATGGCGCTTCTCAGTGGCGCCCAGCCACAGGAGAGAGGCAACCAGTACAAACTGATACCCAGGGAGCTCTGTCTGGACAAAAGAAAACACTTCCCTGCTGCGGAGGTGACAGCGCACAGGAGCTGCGTGCCCAGGGAGGCTGTGGAGCCTCCATCCTCGGAGACGCC